CATTTACCTATTAATAAGTTCTCAAAGTTAAATTATGTGATATTTTTTTTTATGTTGGGTTATCAATGTTGTCAGTAATTTACCGACTTTGGTAAATTTTATTTTTTTATTTTGCATTACATCAAGTAAATTTATTTTAAATTTACTTGATGTAATGCAAAAGTAAATTTATTTAAAAAAAAAAAAAGTAAATTTATTTTGCATTACATCAAGTTATGGAACTCTGCCACGGGGACTGGTGACTATTTGTCATAATATGTGAACGGGTCACGGATACAGGTTACTGATTCAAAAATTTATTAATAATAATTGCAAATCAAATTGTTTTATTAAAATCTTAAAAAAGTAACGTAAATTATATAAATTTTTCATCATGAAATTTACTTATTATAAAGCATAGTTGGCTTAATACTTCAGTTGGATTTTGAGCCTTTACATTTTTCATATATCCATCGTTTCGGGATAGTTTTGTACTGGAGAGATTTAAGCTATAATAATAAAATATTAAATTATTTACGCATTTTTTTTATTTTAACAATTTTATTCGAGCTATGAAGTGCTATTAGTATAATTAAAATAATAATCTAAATCAATAATATTCTGGAAGTATTTATAATTTTTAATGATGATAATGTTCATATGTATATACTCCGAACCCGTATCCCGTATCCGCACCCCGTCTCTAAAACCCAATTTTATAATTTGACGTCATACAAAAATATATTCTATAAGACATTATAGAATATATATATATATATATAATATATATATATATATATATGTGTATTGAAACTCCAAAATTGCACATCTCAATCGATCATGTGATAGTAAAAAGTAAAATAAACAAGTAATTAAAATGTAAAAAAATCAGTCAACTTTTCCATTCCCCTTATTTGATTGATTTATTACATAATAACTTTTAAACACACACAGCAGCTAGCTAACGACCAATTAATCGCTAGCTGTTTTTTTTTTAACGTTGGGAAATGCATTTACGCACGACGTGTGGGACTCACCGGCGTAATACAGCCAGCACTACCCACTAAAACCCAACAAAACCTTCCCCCGTCTTAATGGGGCGTCGCAGGATCGCTTACGCATTCAACTACGACGTCCCGACGGCAGGTCTGCCAAAGCAGACCACAACAACCATGGGGTTGCTCCACAGTCCACTCTGCTATCAGAGAAGTACCAGGAGCAACCCGCATGGTACACCGCCCACCGAAGCGGGCCACCTCCCTGTGCGTTTCTTGGCTTCGCGCCCGGTTGGGTTGCCGGGCACTACTGAGCCCCCCCACCACGACAAGGTGAACGCACGTTGGGGGGGGGGGGGGGGTATCGCTAGCTGGTACAGATTTTCTACCAGTTTCACTGAATGTGCTTAGGAAAATTATAATATACCTAAAATTGTCCCGTGGTATTGTAAGAAAGGGAGCGATTGACAAAACTCACTAATGAAATTATAATTTAACGGATTTTACAATTTTACTGCGACATATTATGTAACAAAAATCATAATTTGTTTTTGAGAAGTTATTTATTGGTAAATGTAAAGTTTTTGAGAAGTATGGGAAATTTTCCCCTGGATCTGAAAGCTTGAACTAAGTTTAATCGATCCACGGTTCAGCTACGAGAAAGCTTCCCGTAGTCCCTCCTCTAGATCGGGCGAATAGTCACTTCGGTAAATTGTTATAATATTATAAATTAATTTATATAGTGCTAATAAAATGTAAAACCCAAAATAATTACGTAAGATATGGATATGTTTAAAAAAGGGCCAATTTAATTCAAACATTTATTATTTTAAATGCAGCTTTAACATATTTAGACTAGGTTAATGTAAATTAAATTGAAATTGTACTTTGTGTAAGTTACAATGTTGTTTTCATAGACTTCTAGATCTGAAACTACAAATAATCTCTAAAAAGTTAGTTTCACACAAACTTTCATCCCCTATTTTACCCCCTTAAAGGATGAATTTCGAAAAATGCCTAAACACGTATTTATTTAATTTTATTGAAGAGCATTTATACCAATTTTCAAGTCTTTCTGATCATAAATATTTTTGTGGATTCTATTATAACGTGTTTTCCCGTGGGAATTAGATGATCTCCGGTAAAAAATAGCCTATGTCACTCTCCAGCCCTCCAACTACATCCATACAAAAAATCACGCCAATCCGTCACTCCGTTTCGACGTGAAAAAAGGACAAACAAACAAACACACTTTCACATTTATAATATGTATTAGTATGGATAATGTAAGATATTAACGTACTAAACAACATTTCAAAAATAATGTTACTTAAATGAATTGAATCTCGTGTATTTTTAGGCGTGCCAGTTGGACACAAATTACTTCGACAATGAAGGTTTGTTAATGATCTTATCAGATACGACCATTGAGAGTTCTTAGTTTATACTAAACTATGAGTGTGAAAAAGAACAGAGAAAGAGAGCACGTAAGCATCAGATCTTAGAAGACTAAAATTAAAAAGCGGGACTAAAATTATTTATTTATCCTTTTCTTTTTAAAGTAAAATTATAAATTACAATATAACTCGCGTCATCTAAAAAGAACGCTGGCTGTCAAGCTGCGCAGAAGCGAATTATCGGTCAAATTGGTGGTAAGAAGCGGCGCGCGGGGCGGCGCGGGGCGGCGGCGCGCTATTGGTTCGTCAGTTCGAAATACCATCGCGCACACAAAAGTTTTTAATTATGAAATGGTTTTATATATAGAAAAGAGAAAAATTGTTTTTGACGTATATTGTTTTACAAAGAGAGAGTCTAATAATAATGCAGTTAATAATAAAAAAAATGTATTAAACGTATTAATTTAATTTTTTGTAAGAAGATTAAACATTCTGCACTGAATCAAACATATTTGATAATGAATAAAATTCTATTTAATGATATTCTATCTAATATATTTTTCAATGTCCCTACCAATAACTAATATATGAAGCCGCGAGCGAAATGCTATGAAAAATAAAATAATAGACTTAGTACTTTTGTGCGCGAGTATACCCATGCGCAAACATACCCTCTCCACTTTCTTCCAGCGTTCTTTTTAGATGACGCGAGTTATGACTCTACAACATTAAAGTAGCCTGGAGACGATCGACAATCGATGAAGGAATAGAAATTCTTTCTCAGGGATACTGTTGTAAAAACGAAAGAAAACGAAGAGGCAAAAATTGACTATAAAGTTTATGTTGATTTTTGCTTCTTCGGCTTGTGCAAATCGGCAGGTTATTGAATTGCACACTTCTTGCAAAAATCCCTTCTTGGGCTCCCCTACTATAGTGACTCGTCACCCGTGGGAATAAAAGATTTTCCTGTTATCACTATACAAAGTTTAGTTAAAATCGGTTCAGTACTTTGTGTGTGAAACGCGTTAATCGATTTCGCTAAGTTACTGTTTTGTTATATGATAAACTAGCGACTCACCCTCGCTTCGCTCGGATTCGTCCCTAGCTTGCTTCTCATACAAACTTTCATTCCCATTTTCAACCTTTTTAAGGGGTGATTTTCGGGATAAAAAGTATCTTATATCCTTCCCAGGGAACTATCTTCTTACCAAATTTCATCTAAATTGGTTCAGTAGATCACAGACACCCCCTACAACGTCACAAACTCACAATCTTACAAACTCGCAAACTTTACCTCTTTGTGAAGTATAAAATATTTCGGATTCGATTTATTTGTACTAATATTTTCAGTGAATATAATATTTTTTTAATAATAAAGCTTTGGCTGTATTGTTGTTTATTTATTTAGACCAAAGATTGCAAAAGATTAAGATTAATAAATTGATTTTCATTTTTTATTAATAAAGTTAAGATTCCAAACATAGTTGCTTTTTTCATTTCAAACAGATGAAATTTATTTTTTATTTAGTATTTTGACAAAAAAAAACTGACTGAAATGAACTTGTAATTAAAAGCTTTTATAAAAATTGTTATGTTAAAAATATATTAGACTGAATTTAAGTTAACTTTTTTATAGTATAAGATTAAAAATTAAAATTGTATTTTGTATTGCAATTCCCTTAAATGTAATTCTGTAATTAATATTTACATAATAAATATTAGGTCTACAGGAAGCAAGTTTTGGCTATTATTTTGTATGATAAATAAACTGGATAGTCCAATTATAAATGTTGTTAAATTATATTGACTATTGTATAATATGTAGGTGCAATGTAATTGAAATTGTTATTTAAGTGAAATTTCCTTTTTTGAGGTTATTATAAAATTGATATGTTGATAATATTTTAAGATGCCCCCTCCGCCTTCTTCTTGTATGTCTTAAAGATAAAGCAAATATATTTTTTGAAATATTCTTATTTGTTTTTATTTATTAGACCAAATATATTTATTATTATAGATTATTCATCATTACTCCAAAGAGCAACTCATCAATCAACATATGAAGATATCTATTTATGTTATAAAAATATAATGCAATAACATTTTTAAAGAAAAGTGTTATCTATTAAGAAATATATTATTAATGTTATTTTAGGACGTAAATTGCATGGTAAAATGTTCTCAGTAATTATGTCCACCAGTTTATGAATAGTCAGATATTCATTATCAGATTTATAAATATTTGATTTATATTGGCCATGTAATAGTAAATATATTTATTAGCATAGATTAATGCTATTTTCTTTTGCTGAAACCTGAAGATTAAAATATCAAGAACAAGATATTGTCTTAATACAAGCTAGCGATTACTGAATAGAAATTTTAGAATTCTTTATTTTCCCAGTGGTAGTCTTATTTTTTATCAAATAAATTTATAATTCCCAGAACCCGCGCTTAAAGATTAATTAATATTATCTGCTCATGCAATTCTTTTAAAAGATCTATGATGTATATTGCGATATATAATAACGTAATGATAATGTATTATGGAAAACTTTCCAAAATATATTTAAATATTATATAAGCAAATGTATACCTTAATATATAACCAAATATTTTTGTTTTACAGATATCCTCCTAGGAATAACGGCCCCCCACCTGGATACCCTCCTATCGGTGGCAAACCCGTACCACCATTGATTCCACCACAAAATGAACCTCCTCCTGGATACCGAGGACGATTTGATGCTCCACCATTTGAAGATATTCCCCCTGGAGTTGAACCACCAGTTCCTGGATTTGAGCCGTCTCCGTTTGAAAAACCAATTTTCGGCCTTTCTGGACCAATGGAGCGTGATAGATTGCTTCCACCTAATTTCAGAGATCCTTATAGGGCACCTTATAATGAGGGACCTGGTCCTGTATATAGAGACGTTCCGGGAATTCCACCAGTTCAAAATGATATACCTCCACATATAGTGGATCATCCCCAACGCTACAGAGATAACTTTAGGCCGCCAGGTCATTCATTTCGAGATCAAGGACCTGTTCCTTTCAGGGATGGACAAACATTTCGAGATCCCGGTCAGCAAACTTCTTATCGTGATGGTAACTTTGGAAGGAATGGACCACCTCCACTATTCAGAGATAATAATTATAGAAATAATATGTTTAGAGAAGGTAACTTTCGCGAAAATATGCCCCATAACTTTCGGGAAGGTGGTGTACCATATAGAGCTCCTAGTGCCGATGCTAGGGAACCTAATGCAGCGCCTTATCACGATTCTACTTATAGGGAAGGGTATCGCGAAGAAACGAATCCAAATAGAGAGATGAGGTCTGGCTATCGTTCTAACACACGTAATCGACAAGGATCTAGACGAAATCCTAATACAGAGCATGACAGACATAGAGATGGCAGGGAGCGCGAACGCTTTAACGAAAATCGCGATCAATCTGATAGAAATGAACGACCGCGAGATGTTGACAAGCGGTCAGGTTTTGAAAAAGGTCGAGAACCGAGAGATGATCGAATGCGAGACTACGAAAGAAATCGAGATGATAAAGAAAGAGAAAATAGAGTTCACGATAAATCGTCACCAGAAAAGAAGCTACGCACATCACCTAAACGTGGCCGAGAAGTACGTGAGCAAAAACGTAGTGATTCCAGAGGACGATCTCGTGATCGTGACAATAGACGGGAAAAGAAAGAAGAAAGAGTACGTGATAAGTCATCAGCAGATAGGAGTAGAGAACATAAAGAAAAGGATAAAAAGATTAAAGACCGGAAGAAGAAAAAAAGAGAGAAAGAAAAAGATATTGAGAAGAAAAAGAAACGAGACAAAAAAGATAAAAAGGATAAAGATGGTTCTAAAAAAGAAGATGATGATGCAGAAAGATCCGACTCTAAGCCAAACATCAAAGAGGAGAATAATGATGATGGTAATGGCCAAGTGTTTGTAAAATCTGAATCTGATATGCAAAAACTTGACAATTCCAATACGGAATCGGTTAAGTGTGAGTCTCATACAGTTCAGGATGATTTATACAGTGGTGAAGCAGCTGAGGCTGTTGATAAAGAAATCATACAGAATTATGTAAAAAGTGAAGATAAAAAAGAAACTTCTGAAGCTAAAACTCATGATAGTAATAAAGATGAACCTTTTGATGGGATAGAACTTCAAGCTGCCGCAGATGAATTGGAAGCAGATATTGAAGGGTCAACTAATAAGGAAATGTTAGCACCCTTACCAGCTTTATCAAAATGGGAAGTTGATGATGATAACATTGAAAAATCTAAGGAGCCAGGTGAGATTACTTCTCCTGAAGAAGAAGAAGATGGAGGTAAAGTCACATCAGAGGTCTTAAAGCGCGCTGAAAATGCTATATTTGCAAAAGCTATTAATTCTTTGAGACCAATTGAAATTAAGAAGATCAGTAGCGATCGCCTGAAGCTTTATGGTGATGATGCTCAACAGAAAAATTCATTAAATAATATTCAAATTACAGTTCCTGTAGTAGACCAGGAGCAACGATTGATTGATATAAATGACAGGAAGAAGCGATATTCAAAAACACCTCCACCGCGTTTATCTGTAAAAGAAAGGCTTGGCGGAAAAGTTGATGATGTACGTAGAAATAGAGAGCCTCGTCTTGTTCAAAGCACTGTAGAACGGGTTAAGTCGCGATCTAAAACTCCAAAAAAAGAACAAATGACCTATCGTCGAGTAACCATGGAAAGGGACAGAAGCAGGAAACCAGAGCATATAAGTAGACTTGAGTCTTCAAAATCAGAAAGACATAACATTGGTGATGGTTCTAAAAGTGACCAAAATTATAATGGAAATGAATTTAAAAAAAGAGATTTTTCAAAGTCTAAAGATGAAAAGAAAATGTATGGTGACGAAAGAAAAGACACTAGAAATACTGAGAAGAATATTGCACAAGAAGGTAAAAGTTCTCATGAAAGAGAGAGGAAAAAGTCGATACTAGATGAGGCACATTTTGAACCTGATTATGACGAGAATGTGGAATCCGATAATGAAGCTAAAGAAGAACCTAAAAAGCGCTCTCGTGAACCCTCACCAACTGAAGCGATCGATTCAAAGAAAGTTAAACTAGATACAGAAACAATAAAATTAGATCTAGCAAATGTTAAAAAGAAACCCGAATCTGATAGCGAGTCTTCTAGTGATTCTGAGTATTCGTCTTCGTCTTCATCGTCGGATGCTCGTAAGAGAAAGAAGAAGAAGAAACGGAACAAGAAAAAGAAGAAACGCGCTGCCAGCGACAGTGACAGTGAATCGGATTCGAGTTCGGAGGATCATAAGAAAAAGAAAAAGAAACGTAAGCATAAGAAAAAATCTAGCAAAAAGAAGAAAAAGTATAAACATAAGTAATTTGTCCCAAGTTTACCACGTCGTCATGTTTGGTTTGTTTGTCATCTTCTTGTAACTTTTACCCTATTATTATAATGATGATGATGATGATAAGTTTCAAGCAAACTAAATTCTAGGTAAAGGCGGAGTTTTATTGTTCTACATAATTCATATTATAGTCAGGTATTTACCTAATAAACTTAAAATTATAAAAGCGATGTTTCATTTCTTGACCTGTGCTGTTGCCCTTTTAAGCTATTTATTTTAAAACAGAAAGTTAATAAATATTACTATTACAAATGAATATTATTATTTATTTATAAATTACATATCAAAGGTATTAACTAAATCTATTTATTTATGGTTTTGTTTTATAATCCATACTTAATATTATAAATGTGACAGTGTGTTTGTTTGTTTGTTTGTTTGTTTGTTTGTTTGTTTGTTTGTTTGTTTGTTTGTTTGTTTGTTTGTTTGTTTATCCTTCTTTCTCGTCGAAACGGAGAGACAGTTTTGACGTGATTTTTTGTGGGGAGATAGTTGCGAGGGCTAGAGAATGACATAGGCTACTTTTTACCGTGGGAGATCATCACATTCCCAAGGGAAAACACGTTATAATCCAAAAAAAATATTTAAATTAAATAATTACTCGAAACTTGGCAATAATGCTCTTCAATAAAATTAAATAAATATGTGTTTTAGCATTTTTCGAAATTCATTCTGTAAGGGGGTGCAATATGAGATAAGTTTGTATGAAACTACCTTTTTGAACAGTTTTAACGCAAGCGATCGGCGAAGCCGCGCGTTCTGCTAGTAATTAATAATAATATACTTTACAAAAATTAAAAAATCCCGTCTGCTTAAAAAGCGAAATAAACAGACGAGAAAAAGATGACGAAGGAACATATAGTATTATGCTTATTAAAAATTTGCATTATTAAGACGAATCTCATGACGCATGAATCATCGAAATCGGTTATACCATTTAGTAATAACGAGGGAACATAGGATCGGACATACATACAGGTCAAACAAAAATCCCTCCTTTGTCGCTCTGCCAGGCAGCCTTGAGGTGGAGGGCAGTGTACTTGCTTTGACACGTTTACATATCTATACATTATACAAATACTTAATAAAATTCTCGAGTCGGATCTGTACATTAAATATTTTTTTGGAAAATCTTATTGAAATAGTCATTATTATCGATACAGAGGTAGAATCTATAGTTTTTAGAATTTTTGTCTCTCGTGTCTGTCTGTAACCGCATCACGAAAAAACCACTGGAGGGATTTTGATGAAATTTGTTATGATAGCTAGCTGGTTATCCGGGTAAACATACAGGATACTTTTTACTGCGGGAAAATATCTCATTTCTGAGAAATCTATACTAAACGTTAAAACTTAAGTAGGGACAAATACTTAAATAGGTATAGATAAACACATAGATATATTCATAAATTCATTTAGAGATATATGCATACTTATTACTTACATACATAGGTACATACAAACATCCCTACATTTTATGAAAAGGAACATGAATACCATCTAGCAATATTGCTGATATTTGCATAATATTCTTAGTTTTTGACAACATTCTTTGACTGTTTAGAGTAATTGCCAGCGTTTCGCAGTGTTTAAGTTAAGGCCTTACGACATATTCAATGTGTGTTGTGGTTATAGACGAGAAAACTTTCCCGTTTATATTTTCTACTACCGGCATCCCTAGGTACGCGGGTTACAGTCACAATTTCATGGGTTTTAATTGTTTTGCGCGGAACCCTATTTTTTCCAAAAAAAAAGTAGACTATGTTATACCTTATAACCTTAGCTCTCTGCCTGTGAAAGTCCCGTCAAAGTCGGTCCAGCCGTTTTGGAGATTAGCCGGAACAAACAGACAGATATTTTCGAAGTCGGTGTGCTTTAATTTGTATCTGCTGGCACCGACGTCTAAAATTTATAATTAGGTATATATATCTATGATAATCTGTAGTATATATAATATAGATATATATAGTATATATAATATAGAGATAATCTATAGTACCTAAATAAAAACTACTTACCAATCGGTTATATTTTAGACATAGTAGTAGCAAAATAAAAAGAAATTATTTTAAAAATTCAGTACTTGAAAAATCAATCATGCCCTATTTTTACACATAGGGATGAATTTCTTTTTTCAAATTTAAATGGCCATTTTGGAATAAACCTTTTTCGAACAAAAAAGAATTTTGCAAATCCGTATCACGAAATTATGCCCGAACATACATAAAGAAAAAAAATATAAACTTCCGAATAGAGAACCTCCTCCTTTTTTTAAGTTGGTTAATAAAAAGAACACATTCGATTTAAACGAAATTTAAAACTAATTCAACTATTACTATAAGTGAATTTACGCATTACGAATATTCGCGTTATCGCAAATTAGTAATCTGGAATTTATGATACTTGCGAATTTCCTATTTGCGATAAATAATTAAAAGTCACTTATCCTTTTATATGTAGGTACATACATACGTAGATAACATTTATTATCTACATCAAATATTGATGCACCGTCTAGTCTAGATAAATCAATTTTTCAACCGACTTCAAAAAGGAGGAGGTTCTCAATTCGGCAATTTTTTTTAATGTGTGTCACCTCAGGACTTCGTCATTTATTAAGTACTTTAACAAGTTGACCCCATTATAATTTAAAAAAAATACCACCCCTAAGGGTGGACAAATAGGTAATGAAAATTACTTCTAATAATTGTCATATTGCCTTGAAACTTTGCAAGTGTCTATTTCCGTTGACAATAAACAAAAAATAACTGAAACGAAAAATTGAAAACTAAATAGTAAAAAATAACTGATTGGTAGTTTTCATTTATTATAGATACCTAATCAAATATTTTCAAAGTCGGTGTCAGCCGATATAAATTAAAGCACACCGATTTATTTATTTTTTATTTTATCTGATAATGCATACAAGGAGCGATAAAAATGGAAATATTATTTTATCAAGATTTTATTTAAAATAAAAAAAAAATCAATTTTTCATTTTTAAAAAAAATTTTATATTATAAAATACACATCTAAAGAAACAGTACATCTTAGTATAATTATATTAAAAACACATTTTAATAAATAATATTAACAGTTTACACTTTAAAGAGACGAGGACCATTCATATACAGTTCCACATTACCGGACGAACGTGTGCAATATTTGGACGGTGTAAAAGATTAACATATGTAGATCACATATTTTAAATTTCATCTAGTTACGCATGAACCGCGTGGTCTATACTGTAGCAGAAAGAAAAGAACGCAAAGAATTACTAGTTAGTGCATTCTTACTATCCTGCAAGCAATACGTAAATACATCCAAAGATGTAAATCAAATTAACCTGAACACAAGGTATTTAAATTATATATTTAGGTACACAGTTTTTCTTATTAATTATTTTAATTTAACGCCTATATCCTCCAGTAAACATTTTCCAACAATGATTGAGCCATGAGGTTCTTTTCTTCAGACGTTCCGTCTTAGCAGTTTCTCTAAATAGTAGCCATTCTCTGTGCACTGATGGTGATCGAGGTCCCCATGATAATTTCTTACGAAGGGAACTCTTTAAAATCTGAAACAGAAAATATAATGAAAACAATAATTTGATTTTATATTCCTTAAATAAATATTGATATATTGATAATATCTTTTGTTAGTGTCCACTTACTTCAATAAAATTACCAGCAGATCTGTTTTTATACATAGATATGCACATAAACAGCGGAACAAAGAGAATACCACCGACAACCATTAGGTACCCAGCGACTGTAAAAAAAATTATAATATCAGTGTAGTACCTGATTATATTAACCACAATGTCATATTTACCTAATCGTTACAGTATTTTCCTTGATTTTGCTACCACCTATATACGCCTATGGGGGTGTGAGTGGTGTGACTGGGGGGAGGGGGGGAGAGGGGGGGGGGGTTGTTTATGTAAACGAGTACGTACAGTATCGTAATGAGTTTTGTAGGTATGTTTTTAAATATTATTTCTGTATTAAAGGTAGATGACGTACCTATAAGTTGTTCAGGAAGTATATGGTTTTGATTGTTTTACCTAATAATCATTTAATAGCTGCACAGTTATCAACATTACGCAGTAACAAAGCAGCAGTTTTTATCACTAAATGTGTCGTAAGTCCAATGTCAGAGCGACACAGTTATAACAATATGTAATATTTAAGGTCACATGCACTAAACTCATAATTTCATTAAAATGTCTTACGGGTTATGTCTTCTATTACTTTTTTTATACATATTTGAGATCATAGATCACATAATACTATGCTAGTATAAGATCATCGATCAAAAAAGTTCTAGATACACAATCAGTGACAAAAAATGTCCTCACCGAATGAGCGCTCATTTGAACATTTGAGCGCGCTTTTAATTTTTTTTCTTGTGTGAAAACAACTTTAAGTATTGCATTTAAGGCTATATTTCCATCGTTGTATATTTATTTCAACTAGAATAATAATTATTCTAGTTGAAATAAATATACATAATATGAAATAAATTACACAGGGAATTATTAGCTAAACACACAGGTGACAGTTTTAAGAGTACTTTTGCATGGGATTGTGTATCTAGTACTATTCTGTTCGATGTATAAGATATAAAAATCAAAATAGGAACTTTCGTGCATGTGGCATTTTATTATGTGTAAAGATAAAAAAATATTTTTTATGAAAGTTTTTTATTAGTGGGCAATCTCACTGAGTCAGTGAGTGAGAGAGAGAGAGAGATACTATAGTGCACAAGTATGCGCGCAAATACAAGTGCACTCTATTCCTGTTACTCTCAAACTGCGGTGAGATGACAATTTCTCTTAACTCTCAATTTGTCGAATTCGACAGTCACGGTGATCCGATCAGATCAGGAGCAGGACCGAAGTTTTACGTGCTGTCCGAGGCACGAGGGTAAAATATCGTACCTCCAACTTCCCTACTCTGGACAGAAAAATCCCAACAACCATTATACTTCGCTCAACCCAGGACTCGAACCCAGGACCCTGGAGGTCATCTGCAGACGTACACATTAGCCACTAGCCCACTGCGGCGGGTATATAAAGTTAAAAATATTAATAGAATAAATACATACCGTAAGCTGCTGTTGGATATTCATAATCATCGCCAAATTCTAAGGGGTCAGATGCTATTAAAGCGTATATGAATACGACGATCATCATGGCCGGCGTGATAATACCCCAACACAAACGCCAATAAAACGATGTTTTAATACCCAACATGAATTCTAGATCCAAGCAAATGTTTTCAACTCCTGAAATATTAATATTTTGTTAGTAAACTTTATGGAATATTATTATTTATATTTATTATTATTATTATAGTGAATACTATGTGCGATTGAAAAGAATAATTTTCATCCGAGAATTATAAAAATGAATTATATTTTTGATAACATTTTTTTTTTAATTTTTAAATACATTTTCAACAAATAGTTACCATATATCCAGATCACACCAGCGACTTCAGCAATACCACAGAAGAGGATCAGGAAAGTTCCACCGAAGTAGTCAGTGAGCTCTAAGATATATTGACCTCCCTGTAAAAAAAAGTTATGTTTTCGTTTTTTTACTGAATATAATATATGTAGTTTCTCGAAATTCTATATATAAACATAAATCACTTTTTTGTTTTGCAAAGAATATAGTCATAGATTATTATAATTTAGTCTACTCGTAGTAACTGTGAATAATTTTAGTAGTTTAATTCATATCTACGAATACATAATATATTCTGATAAGTGGAAAATATAAAGCGTGATTATTGAATTTAAATTTTATATTAAAAGACCTAAAGTAGGTATCGGTATTGAGGATTACGAGAAATGGTTGGAGCTGATAAATATAATATACGTACAGGTGTAACGTAAATAAGACCAACTGCAAAGCCGACCGTGCAAGAAAACCCTGATATGAAGATCGTTCTCACATGAGGGAACGCATCAAGAAGTATAGTGTTCACTGCTGAGAGTAGAGCCACAGCAGAACCAATACCAAGTACCATCATCATAACGAAGAAAAGAACTGAAAACAGCTGAAAAGAGATATATCATACATACATACATTAATAACTTAATTTTTATAAGCACCTAATAAAAACTGATTATTCCATTTTATATAACTAATAAAAAAATGTTTAGATTATTTTGATATATTATATACATAATATATTTTATTAAACAAACTTTGTTTTATTGAATTAAAATTTTTGGTATCGTATCATGTATCTAACTAATATCTTCAGTAATATATTAGATACCTATTATTGAAGTAAAAAATATTTGAAAATAATTAATAAAAACCTCTATAGGTTACCTGTGTGTAAAAATTTCGTTACCTGTGGTTGAAAGGTTTTAGCAATGGCATCGGGATAAGAAACAAAAGCCAATCCTGTGCCTCCTGTGCCAACAACCTCACTTACATCTCTGTCTAACACATATGCTAAATTGCCCAATATACCGAATATTGTAATACCCGACAGTAAACTTGTAAAAGTATCTAAAGTAGTCACAATCATAGCGTCTCTGTAAATAAATATGAATATTTTAAACTTTGGTTTGATTCTGACTGTGAAATATGTATATGGTATCTAATATATTTTTTTGTCATCTGTCATCATTTTTAAATAGTAAAAAAATAATTTTTGATACCATTTTTCTAGTTTCTCACCAGCGACTGATAAAAGTAATATGTGAGGGGGATCAGGCCATAGTCCACCACGCTGGCTAAGTGTTGGCTGGCGGACTACATATGTCTTTCGAAAATTTACTAAGTTCTCTTGTGATAATTGTGCTAGAAATGATTAGCATATAAAACTATCAAAGGCGCGAGACCCGGGATTTGAACTCGCTTTACTCGGTTTTCCAAGTAAAGTTGTTACCACTGGGCTAGCACTGCCTACAGTATTATTATCAGTGTATTTTTATTTTCTAACTTTGTAATACTTAAAATTCGGTGCTATGAACTATATTGTCTAAATGAATTGAAACACTATTAGTCCGTTGAAAAGTTACATTTGGGGTTGCATCTGTCAGAGGACGCAAATTTATTTTACAAAACCTTTGTACCCCTTTTTCCAAGATGGCGGCCGTGAGACAAGGGCTGCAACCCTACAAACTTGGATTTAACTGTACACTAACCCATCCTTGACATCTAAAAAATAAAATTGCGTCCTCTGACAAATGCACGCTAAGCCCAAAAAAATTTAACATTTCAATGGACTAAATACTTATTATCATGTAATCTTCGGAATAATTTGTAGTAAATTATAGATAAATTATTAGATAAATCAACTTGGTACCTACCTGTAAACATTTTGACGAAACCCATTGTATGAGGAGAACATAATGAGAGGACCTGTGCATACTGAAAGGGAGAAGAAAACTTGTGTGACGGCTGCATACCATACCTGTTGGATACGAATAGGTATTAAGTTTAATCAATATCACTATTTTTAAAGTATAGTAATACTTAAAGTACCTATAGATACGCATAAAAGTCGAATATTAGAATTATCTTAGTCCATGGGGTATTATAGAGATACAGTAGAATCTTGATTATCAGGGGTTCGATTAATCGGTGATAATCTATTCATTTTTTCTTTAATTTTCATGATTAACCGTGGATTTGATTGTTCATATAGTTTTATTACCTATTGTATTACCTACGAGTACATATGTAGAAATATTTTTTTTTTTAATAAAAAAAAATTTATTGTCTAAAATTATGATTTTTTTTGCATCCTCATAACAAATTAGATTATCTGTGGTTTTCGTTTATCCGTGCACCTCTGTCTCCGTCATTACTCCGGATAATCAAGGTTCACTGTAATTAAATTAAATAAAACATTCGCGCATAAAACATATTATGTGATATTTGAATAAGTATCCAGTATCAAAACAAATCCTAGAGCAAATTATTATACATATATGTTTTCAATAGTTTGCTAAACTTTTACGTCTTTATAAGTAGTATAAAGAAATAATTTTGTCGGTATGTACTTAGGTACCTTTAATGAATGCATATTTGGTTATATCACCAGAGGTTATGCAATTTCAAATAATATACCTACATATATCTATTATATAGAAACGGATCTTACAGATATCTTTATAATTGGAAATATCTAAAAGTCGAGAAAATAGTATTTGAATTTAAGAATAACAATGACAAAGAGACAAGCGCGAATCCAGGGGGGGGGGGGTCATGGGGGTCATGACCCCCCCCCCAAGGGCAAATATACTTTTTTGAGAAGTTTACAGTCTAAGAAAAAAAGGAATAATACAATTTTTTTTAAATGCCTAATTTGTAACAAATTAAGTTTTTATTCGCTAATAAGTTTTTCGTTAATTTAAATAGCGCTATACAAATAGTCCGATCGCGATGTGCTACACAAAAAATTAAAACTGGAAGTTTTATGTTTTTAAAACGTTTATAGCAAACAAGACAAGCAAACCGTTTAAAAATAGTTTTTTTTTTCAATTTCTGCCTAGCTGTGACATCCTATCGAAAAATATTCTTTACAAAAGTTGTAGGTCTCGTAAGAATCTACGCCTTTATAATAACCTCAAAGTCCCAGGCCATCCCCAAATTATGATATGTATATTTCAGCCTATGACACCCCCCACCCTCCCCAAATTTAACTCTGGATCCGCGCCTGCAAAGAGAGTATCAGAAAAGTGGGTACTAGTGGATCCGCGGTACGTCAAGCTAGAAAAATAGAGACCATCCTAGGCCATGGCTAGTATTTTTTTAATATTGTTGTATTATTGCATGTAGATACTAAAAGTCTACTTGCAACTTATTAACATAGGTATGAATATTTATCTTATCAAGCTTATCGTTAAAATACTTATATATTAGTGTAAGCCAGCTTATTTCTTTCGTAATAAATTTACGTCTTAGCATTAAAGATAGTGACATGACATATTTGTTTGTTATTGTTTGCATTTGGATGTTGCATGTATGTGAGAAAATTAAAGCTAAAAGCTTACCTTTAGGCTGGCTAATGCTTCCCATTGTGGCGTTAAAAAGAACAAAATACCGTTCCCAGATCCAGGTAAAAGTACGGTACTGAAAATAATAATTTGAATTATTAACAAACAAATCTTTGTTATATGTATAAATAAATATATAATAAATCTTTTTTTTTTAATATTTTAATAATTTAATTTCTATTTTACTTGATTGATATGTACAAAAATGTAAAAATTGATCATACGTACCTAATGAGAAGAATAATCATAATAACGTAAGGGAACAGAGCTAAGAAATATGATGCTTTCCCTGAGCTTTTAATACCTCTTGATACAATTATGAAAATTGTAAACCATGACGCAAATAAGCATAATGTCAGATACCAAACGGGCAATCCTGAGGAAGGAGAGTATCATATTAAACTATAATTTCTTTAATAAAACGATCATATTATGTTTTGTTAGTTAGTTAGCTTTATTGTAGGTACAACTTACCTCCCCCCCAACGTGCGTTCACCTTGTCGTGGTGGGGGGGCTCAGTAGTGCCCGGCAATCCAACCGGGCGCGAAGCTAAGAAACGCACAGGGAGGTTGCCCACTTCGGTGGGCGGTGGGAGGTGGCCCTCTTCGGGGGGCGGTGTACCATGCGGGTTGCTCCTGGTACTTCTCTGATAGCAGAGTGGACCTTGGAGCTACCCCATGGTTGTGGTGGTCTGCTTCGGCAGACCTGCCGTCGTCGGGGCGTCGTAGTTGAATGCGTAAGCGATCCTGCGACGCCCCTTTAAGATGGTTTTGTTGGGTTTTAGTGGGTAGTACTGGCTGTATTACGCCGGTGAGTCCCACACTTCGTGCGTAAATGCATTTCCCAACATTAAGAAAAAATAAAGGTACAACTTACCTAGACCGCCCTCAATGCCCTCACTGATTTGAAGAACTGTTTTACTGAAAAGAAAATAATTCTACAATAAATATTTAAGTCATTTTTTATAAATAGAAAAGAAATAAAACAATTTCATACGTGAAATATAGTTCCGCACTGCTGGTTGAGTTTTCTGTTAAGATTATATTTTCGGTCAAGCCAGAGGGCACACAATTTATCCATTCAGGATCACAAACAGCCCAAGGTAAAGTTGATTGGAAGCTCATAGAAAAATAATAAAGGCACAGGGCTATAATTGGAACGTAGTAAGATAGAATATAACTGCATCCCAAAGATTGTGCATAGCCGATTCCTGAAATGTACTATAAAATTAGAAATATTCGCGTACAGCCTGCTCTTCTTACATTGCGCATTTTTCTTTCGCTTCTAATAAACATATGACTTTCTGAGTCTCGCTTGATAATTTGTTTTTTTTTCAAATATTGTATACAGTTAATATTCAATGCAATAATAGCTAATACTTATTACCGTTAAATATTTATTTATTACCTTTTAGTCCAGGAGAGAGTGCCCATATTTTTACTGCATTCCTCGAGCTGAATTGTCCGAGATAACACTCGAGATAGTACATGGGCTTTCCAATAAACAAAAGTACAATAATGTAAGGAATAAGAAAAGCTCCACCTCCGTTTCGATATGCGGTGAAGGGAAATCGCCATACGTTACCAAGACCAACTGACGTAGCAATACAAGACATAAGAAATTCAATCTGATTGCCCCACATAGCTCTTTCAACATTGCCATCTTCTATGTTTTCAGTTTTCTAAAAGTATGATACTGTATTCAAAATGTGCTAAGTTTAAAAAAAAATATCTATTTCATTTGTTATATTATGTTCATGTAGTTTTACCACTTTTTCATTTGGTTGCTGATTCGCTGGTTCCGAGTGTTCGAAGGCGGTATTAACTTTACCACCTTGCTGTTCGACGTTGGCCTGCGTAAAAAATGACAATAATTGATATAAGGTTATTGTTATTTTTTGCACACATAGGATTAGTAAAGGTCATCAGACTATTAAAATCTTTTACTGTTTTGTTTCAGAATGGTCATCGTTATTCTTCAAATTCATTTAGAAAAGCATATCTGAATTTACAACATGATTAATATCCGCCAGTGAAATCACGCTAAGAGGGTCTTATTGCCCAAAACGCGGCTATAACATCTATAGGTACCTACAGTGCAGTAAAATGTTGCAAGGACTCATCATGCTTAAATCAAGAACTAAGGTAATATATTCAAATGTTTGATATTGAAAATAGCGGCATGTAAATGTGCCTATTATTATTAATCATAATAGTAGTATTGATCTCAATTAAAATATATTAAATAAAACATATTGTTCACTTTTGACAACCCTTGCCTAAAAACAACTCGAGGTAGTCGGCGTTTCCATCAACATGAATATATTGTAAGCCTTGTATATTGTGGACCGGATGTATTGTGATGTTAGTTTATAGTGTCAACTTTGACGCACAGTAGTAATTTTTACCCGACTGCGTCGGAGCCCGAAGTATTCATTTTAATACTCGCAGCAATTATAAAACATGTTTGTCTATTGTATACTTACGTACATACGACGTTTTCATTTTATCGAATTTAGTTCGCAATTTAATATTTGTTTCTTTTTTTGGGTTGCAAAAGGTAAAAAAGGAACTCTTATAAGATCACTCTTTTGCCCGTCAGTCCGTCTGTCTGTCCGTGTGTCACCACCGATTTTCTCAGGAACGGGTGAACCCAGCAAGTTACGCAAGTTAGGCAAATTTATACCAAATACTGAGGTCTATAGTCCCTATTAGGTATATAAAAATCAAGGTCCTGAGTCAACACGAGAAAAAGCTATGGGCAAATTTAGATATTCGCGAAAATTTGTGTTGTAAGACCTTGCTTTTAACCAAAATTGACCACTCTAGGTCAACCGGAAGTACCCTATAGGTTTTGGGTCAAAAACCTATAAGGTAGTTCCCGTTGACCTAGAATCACGGGCAAAAAACAAGGTATGAAAAAAAACCTGAAGTTAAAAACCTAATGTCAAACTCTAACAATAAATATAATATGTTGGCGACAATGCTAACATTCAAAATAACAATGTTATAGGTTTTGTTGCAAAAGTAAAGTAGAGCTATTTTATTTATTAAAATGCATAAAATCACGATACGTCGTGAACTCGTGATTCAAAGTGTAAGTGACGAACGTGCCTACATACGATCGTATATTCATTTTCACGTGCTCATCTGATGTAAATTATTGTTATTGTTTTTACATATAGCGCACGTACAAGTTTATGTTTAAAGTGTTGGTAAAAATAATTAAACGACAATGTTACCATGATAAATTTCCGCACGAAAGTTAGGCACGTTTCTTATTTAAAGTGTGTTTACCTACTACATTAAAAGTTGTAGTAGTTTTGATTTTCGTACGAGGCAGAAGATTGTACTGGGCATCTCCGCATCGACGGAAACCGTTCTAGTAGCTATATTTTCTTTGTCAAATTCATTGCGTAAGAGCCTGAAACTAATGTCGAATCTCGGACTAAGGAATAATAGAGACTCCGTGTATATAATTATTTAGTCTGATTGTGAGTGTCGATATACTTGTATTTGCGTAGTTAAAAGTTTTTTTTTTTTGAAAATATGCACAGCTAAATACAACAGAGAAGTGTGTTTAATTATTATTAGAATGACGACAAATAAGCGTATTTGTTAAATTTGTACATACGCTAATATTATAAAGAGGTACAGTTTGTAGGTTTGTTTGTAGAAAGGTGATCTTTAAAACTCCTGATCCGATTCTGAAAATTCTTTACCTAATAGAAAGCTACCTGCATTACCACCGAGTATTATAGACTATTTTTTATTCCGATAAAACTAAAAACGTGTTGGATATTAGAAGTTTAAATTGGTTTCAAATATTTTTTTTTTGTTTTCTGTAAAAATAAATTGTAAACTTTATTTAAAAATAGTACCTAGTTATAATCTGCTAAATAAGTACAAACCATACATAATTTTAAAAGACTTATATAATACAGTCTAATTTTGACTATTAATTTGATTAGACCTCTCAAGCTTTTTTGAACAAAATATTATTATAATTTAGAAATTGAATTTTGACAAACAAATGTAAGGAAGGACATTAATTATTTTTTTGTGTTTAGTTGTAATTTTGTTAATATTTTAATTAGACTAACGAGAACAAAAAATAAAGTATTTCTAATTTAGTTGCGTACCTCAAGACTGCTCCCTAATATATTTTTTATTTAAGTATAAGTAAATAAAACATAAATCTTATCAGTTATATTATCATATCCATCCATGGAATTTAATTTTTATTTGTCAAATACATTCAAACATTCTTGTTGTTAACATTGTTGTTGTTGTTATTCATTGTTTTTTTGCGAATACGAATGTCAAATAATATGCGTATTTGCGAATGCGTATATATTCTATTCGTTACATCACTATCTCATATAAGGGACTATCCATACTAATATTATAAATGTGATAGTATGTTTGTTTGTTTGTTTGTTTGTTTGTTTGTTTGTTTGTTTGTTTGTTTGTTCTTCTTTCACGTCGAAACGGGGTGACCGATTAGAGTGATTATTTGTGTGGAAATAGTTGGAGGGCTGGAGAGTGACATAGGCTATTTTTTACCACGGGAGATTATCTTATTCCCATAGCATAACACGTTATAATACAATCCAAAAAATATTTATGATCAGAATTACTTGAAACTTGGTGTTAATGCTCTTCAATAAAACTAAATAGGTGTTTTAGCATTTTTCGAAATTTATCCTATAAAGGGGGTAAAATAGGGCATATAAGTTTGTATGAAACTATCTTTTTAGATAGTTTTAGTATTCTTTTTAAATTCATATTAGATGTATGTGATAAAAATTGATTATAATAATTAAACATCTCATTTTCATTAATGTTCAACCATTTTAAAACCAAGTAGACATACGAAAATAGTTATTTTCGCATTTGTAAAATTGAAAATGAATATAATAAAATTCTAATTCAGCTGAATCTGTACATTAAATATTTTTTGGAAAATCTTATTAAAATAGACATTATTATCGATACAGAGACAGACCGCAGAATCTATAGTTTTTAGAATTTTTGTCTGTCTGTTTGTATGTTGTTGCCGCATCACGGAAAAATCACTGGATGGATTTTGATGAAATCTGGTGTGGTGATAGCTAATTATCCGGGTCAACATATATGATACTTTTTACTGCGGGAAAATATCTCATCTCTGAGAAATCTATATTAAACGTTAAAAAGTAATTAGAGACGAACCCGAGCGGAGCGAGGATGAGTCGCTAGTAAAGTAATAAAGGAAACGTCTACAAATAATTCAGGGCTATATTGATAAATTTTGTAATCAATAGATAACTGACTAAATTATTTCAAACGAATTATAGAATCGCTAATCCAAAGAAATGATTAACAATATTAGCCCTCATAAATTGTATGGAACGCTCAGTTGGCGGCTCCTTTTATAGGAATAGCTGGTAGATAGTATTTAACATTGTAACATTTTAATAAAACGAATATAACATAGATAACTTTTATATCATTTTAATTAAACCTAAAGGTACACATTTAACCGGTTAACCTAACTCTCGTCTTATTATATAGTTTATATATAGACACAATTACTCTATATATTGTCTTAGAACATTACGGTTCAACGTGAAAATGCCTCGTAATAATAATAAAAATAATATACAGCTTATTTTATCGGAATAATATCTCGGAAAATCTAAAGTTCTCGACAGGATAGATGACGAAAGTTTTATCAAGTCTTTCTTGTTATTGCATACATAGATGTTTCGTTTTCTAGTATGTATGTAAGTTTGTTACATGTAAGTGCATAAATATAACTGACTAGCGACTCACCCTCGCTTCGCTCGGGTTTATCCCTAGCTTGATTCCCCATACAAACTTTCATCTCCATGTTCACTCCCTTAAGGAATGATTTCCGGGATAAAAAATATCTTATGTCCTTCCCAGTATTTCAAAATATCTTTTTATCAAATTTCATCTTAATCGGTTCAGTAGATCTAGAGATTACGCCTACAATGTCACAAACTCACAAACTTTACCTATTTATAATATTAGTATAGAAAAAAGAAAAACCTGAGTGCTAGATTGGCGTGATTTTTTGTGTGGAGATACTTAGAGGGTTGGAGAGTGGCATAGGCTTTTATCGCGTCGCGACATCTACTTTCTACCGCGGGAGATTATCTAATTCTCATCGGAATACACATTATAATACAATCCAAAAAAATATTTATGATAAGTATTACTTGAAACTTGGTTTTAATGCTCTTCAATAATATTAGATAAATACGTGTTTTAGCATTTTTCGAAATTCATCCTATAAGGGGGTGAAATAGGAGATGAAAGTTTGTATGGAACCTTTTTAGAGATTTTTTTGTTATGTTAGCGCGAGCGAAGCCGCGGGTTCTGCTAGTAATAGGTATATATTTGAATAATTATATAACTATCTATTGACCATCCCACGTTCCTCATCGCTAAATATAAACAGAAAACAAACCGTGATGTGCCTCTTTATTATTACTTCTTTGCGACACTAAAATATTGTATATATTTAATTTTCTTACTAGAACGTTATTATTGCCATGAACATTAAAATATATTATAAACCTCAGTATTATGTACTTTTAAAATTTTATTGTCTATTCATTTTTATATTATTATCGTGTGATTTCTAAGCATTTTATGATATACTAGCAGTTCCCGCAGCTTCGCCCGCATTCAAAAAAACATACTCGTCGACTTTATGTTATAACATGTTAAGAGTTGAAGTTAAATAAAGTCTAAAATACGTGTTTATCTATTTGTATTGAAGAGCATAAATATCAAGTTTCAAGTAATTTTGTTCGTAAACAATTTTACTCCCATATAAACATTACCACTTCTCTTTGCCCCTTTAAAGGATGATATCCAAAAAAAAATGTAATATTCATAGTACACACATATGTTTTATTTTTTATTTTAAAGCTAGATACCACTTTCTGTCTATATCACATTAAAAATGACAGAGTTTCATACAAATAAATTACAAATGTTCATCCCCCATTTTACCCCAATGAGGGATGACTTACAGATAATGCACACGTTACTAACTGAATTGTAGGTCATTAATACCAAGTTTCAAGTAATCTGATCATAAAAAAAGTTTTCCTATATAAACATTACAACCGCCTTTTACCATTTTAAGGGATGAATTTATAAAAATACTAAAACACGTATTTATTTAATTATATTGAAGAGCATTAACACCAAGTTTCAAGTAATTCTGATTAGAAACAATTTTTTGCCTATTTAAATTTTATCACCTCACTCACCCCTTTAAGGAATGAATTTCGAAAAACAAATCTAATAAATATATTTCTTATTTTTTATCTTAAAGCTAAATACCACTTTCCTACAATTTAAGAATGACAAAGTTTCGTACAATCCTCCCTTATTTTACTCATCATAATTGAATTTCAAAAAATCCTTTCGATCCTACGAGATCCTACGAGTATAAGGAATACGTCCTCCA